AAAATAAATAGTCACATTTTTTGAGCAAGGGGCCGGGTGGAGCAGGTTCCCACTGGCCAGCAGTGCGGGCTGTGGTGGCATGGACAGCGCGAGCTGCCCTGAGCCCACGGGGTCTGGCTGGGGGTGGGGGGTTGAGGTCCCACCTGGGGCAGTGCAAGGGGTGGCCCCCCTCCCACTCATACTGGAGCGTCATCCATCACATACTGGGAACTGGGGAGGAGGTTTCAGCCAGGGTGGTCCCAACCTGCTCCTCAGCACCCAAAGAAAAGGCGCAGCAGACAGGGCAGCCGTGTCCATCTCCTCCGTGCCTGCACCATGGGTGATGGGTGCTAATGCCTCATGGATGGGCGGGGGATTTTGTAGAAGTTGAACGTGGGTGGCCTGGAAAACCAAAGTCACCTGTGTCACCCCCAGCCAGAGCGGGGAGCAAGGGACAGCCCGGGATGCACTGGGGTGGCCAAATGTCATCCTACAGCTGTGACCCAGCCCCACAGGGAAGACGGTATGGAGACCCCCCCCACCCCCACCCCACCAGCTTGGGGGAGACTGGAGCAGCAGCACCCCCAAACTGAGGGATGCGGGAAGATGATGCGAGGACCCCAGAGCAGTCTACGCTGCACAGATCGCCCCTTCCCCGTCCTCCCCTGGTACCAGCACCCTCCTTGGCCTGCACTCGCCCTGCTCCCCTCCTCGCCCCCCTCCCTCTGTGCTGTGTCGCTCCCTCATGCCACCAGGAGCTGCCCCCCCAAACACACACAGGGACCTGGGGCTCCTGCTTACATCTGCAAGACTTCATTCCTGGAGGGGAGAAAAAGAGGGGACAGTGTCAGCGGGACAGAATGTGCCTCCTGGGACAGCCCAGCATCTCCCAGTGGGACAGGGTCTGCGCCCGGAGCATACAAGGACATGGTGGGCTGCAGGGTGCTGTGGTCCCTCCATCTGGACACAGAGCACGGGCTCCTACAGCCCCCCTAAACATTGCTGTCCCCAGTGCATCACTCCTCCATCCCTACCCCACGCTCGCCGACGTGGTGGCACACAGCTCCCCGTGCCACAATTTCAGTTCCCCCCAGTTTCCCCAGTAGCTGAGCCCGTGTCTGCAGCCAGCTCAGCCGGCGGCTGCAGGGGGAAGTGAAAGGCGTGGGGGCCACCAGGGGGGACCCCGGG